TATTTATTATTTATTATTTATTATTTTATTTATTTATTATTTATATTATATTTATTATTATATGTATTATTTATATTTATTATTTATTATTTATTATTTATTATTTATATTTATTATTATATTATTTATATTTATTATTATTATTTATTATTTATTATTTATTATTTATTAATTTATTATTTATTATTTATTATTTATTATTTATTATTTATAATTTATAATATTATTATTTATTTAATTTATTTAATTTATTATTTATTTATTTAATTTATTTTTACCGAGCGTCGTTGGGCATTTCGGCCCCCAAATGTCGGCCGCCCTGGCCGTAACTACGCGCCTCCGCCGCCGCAGTTATCCGGCGCTGGCGCGATTAGGGTGGCGCGCCCCATCTGATAGCGCTGACGTAGGGGCTCCATAAAGGGGGCAACACAACCCACGCATTAGGGCGCGGCCGCTGACGCGCGGAAACATGGAAACGCCTTCTAGTCTCCAAGCTCCGACGCGACGCCGCGTCTTCTTGAAAAGACATCACGTGTGACCTGTGCGGCTCAGCGTCTACACCGCGGATTAAGGAAACCGCGTTTTGATCCAGACGCCGTATGTGTAAATTTTCGATTACATTCCTTTATTTTGGCAAAATTGATTTATATATTTATGTTCGAATTACGTAATTATTTAAACAATAATATTGTATAGTACCATGTCTACAGTATATACATAACGTACAATATAAATGTAAACATTTTTATTGTATAATAAAAATATAAAAGGCCCCCCACTCCCCCCCCCCGAAAAAAATGATCGGCTGGATCTGCCCCTGGTTAAGAGCGGGTACCGCCTCAGCGCTTCGGTCCTATTGGTCGCGGATTTGAGCCCCGCCTTGGGCATGGTTGTTTGTCCCTTGTCTCTCATGCATGTGACGTCGCGAAGACCCACGCGTTCTGCTGACCCCAGATCGGAGGTGCCAGCAAATGTGTTAATGTCTAGTTTATGGTTGAAAATGCGTGGCATCGGGTCGTAAAGGGTAACCTGTTGTCGGCTGGATAAAAGCCCTCGGAAAAAAATCGCAATTGCCAACTCCGGTGGCGGCCTTACGGTTCCCTGGATTTGGAGGACGCTCGTTCGAGCCTGGCTGGGTGCCAGACATTTACATGCTGGTTTTTACAAGGCTGAGCTTTGGCGCCTGCCGTAACTGAATTAGGCAAGACTGCTGTGATCAGTGGTTCTTATGGTTGGTTTGATTCCTTCCAGGGGAATACCGGAGCACCATTCTAGAATACTGGTCATAGCAGGGCAGGACACGTCCTTCCTTATCCCGCATTTAGGGCCGGTCCCCATATGGCCCAACCCATTTATCTCCAACAACTGTCGGAGATCGAAAAAAAGCGACAAGCCAATAATAATAATAATAATAATAATAATAATAATAATAATAATAATAATAATGCCCCGGATCTCATAGCTAGCGAGCTACTTCCGATGTTGAGAGCCCAGGTTCGATATCCTGAAGAGGCACACACACACAAATGCCGCTTTGCCCTGCCTTTGATTGTCGAGCTGAAATGGTGCTTCACGCAAGTAGAGAATACCAAATAGATTGCGTAAAGGATAAACAAATAATATGTTCTTGCTATGATCATCACGGCATAATTGTTGTTGGAAACGAAACATTTTAATTTATCAATTTTGGTTTAATTTTCTGAAGATGTTCACATACGCCTACCATGGCTGGACATCTCCAAGGAGAATCCGTTCTGTTCAAATTGTTTACTTAATGAATCAGTGTAAATGTAATTTGTGTCACACCAATAACCATGTAGTTTAATTTTATAACTCTTAGGCGTAGTCAAGGAAAATAGCAATTGATATGCAGGTCCATGCGGGCCACTCTAATTTCTTTTCGTCACGGACGCCCAACTATTCTATCAAAATGGAGGTGCAAAAAACAGTATTAACATCGTTCAACGCTCTAATGTCAAATACAGTGTCACCCATTACCTAAAAATCTCAGAAAAGTGTATCATCCAGAACGCTTATTACAAAGACTGTCTGGTTAATAAGGGAATTCTATACCTGAGAAATAAGATCACCGAAATGAACTTTGTGTACATCTGCCACTAGAGCATCTCATTTACATTTTCAACCCCGTATTTACAACAGATTTTAATGACTTTCGAGAAATTACTCGCAGGACAGTATTCGGAAACTGACACTGCATTTCATATTCTAGAGTGCGCTCGCATTATTAAACGCAGCCGATTACTGCGTCACAAGGCGCCGAGGCTGGGTGGCCACGCGTCGCGGACGACGCGAAGCCTGTGTTTTCGCTCTTTTCGGGAAATTGGATTTTTTCCTAATGTGGGAGCGGCGCCCGAGTTTCAGGGAGCCAATATGTATGGAAATGGGTTCATCTCCGCGCCGCCACCGCGTCCCGCCCCCCTCGCCGAACAAAGGCCGGGTGGGCCCTGCAAGACGAGCCGAGGACAGCGCCGCGGATGGAAAAAGGACGCCCCGACAGCGGCAGCTGAGGTGGGTCTCGGCGTGACCCCTTCCGTGCACCTGACCGTGGGCGTCCGCGGCACGTAAAAATTTGGAGGGGGCATTAACGAAAGCGATTAAATTCTAGTACCTCCCCCGGAATTTTGGTTAAAGTCTCACTTTTTTGTTGGTTTAGAAGCACGCAGTAGGTCATGATATGACGCAGCCACATTCAAGGATTCTTTTAATACACCTACAAAACTATTTAACACGAAAATACGCTCACTCTTTCATTGGTTTAGGCAAAATCGGTTGGTAATGATATGACTCTAACATTCAATGTAATAAACCTACGTCACTATTCAATATTCAAAAATACGCTCAAACATTTATTAATATGAGCAATTCCGTATCATCTGGACCTATTACGTACATTCCCAATTTTGTAATGCTAGTTGGACCAAATATGTCCCTGAAACTGTCAATAGCTGCAATACATTTGAAAATTAACACGTCTAAATTGAAAAGTACAATCAAAACTTGGCGTGAAGGGCAAAGAGTAACTTTATTTGATCGTTTCTGCAGCGCTGTTTCTTAAGTACAACTTCAGTCTTTGAAGGGTGCTAGATTTCCGTCCATGTAACATTACTTTTATATTACTGTCCTTTAAATTGTCTAAGCATTTCATGCTATAATAGCGCCGGAAGAATGGACATTTCCCAAAATTGTAATTTCAAAGTATGGGTATTACAGACCCTTGAAGTTTTGAGAAAAAGTCTTGAGAAGGATCACCAGTATGATGAAGGTACCTTCATGAAGCAAGGGCGCGTGGCTTACAAAAGCAATTGAGAATCACGCGGCGGCGGTGGTGTAACGGTTAGCGTACCGGACTGTTGTACCCAAGTTGGCGGGTTCAAACCCGATCGAAGCCGTGGATTTTTAAGGGCGAAAAAATCCTTCGTACGCCTTCCTTCGGAGGGGAAGTAAAGCCGGCTGTCCCATGTTCGTAGATTTACTTGCATGTAAAAGATCCTCAAGCCTAAATGACGCCTCTGAGCTAAATTCAAATCGCCTGTTTCTCGCCCAAGTAATACCTCCTTTCTCTCCTTGTTGGTGAAAGGAGCGTAGCAAAATTTGCGTGGTCAGACGGAAGAGCGGGCCTGATGGCCCGAGTCTCGCCACGTAAAATAAGGCAAATTCAATTCAATTCAATCATATAAAGATGTGACCCTTTGAAAGGCACACTATATATAAGGACATTCCCGCAAAGGGAACCACAATTCGATAATTGGCAAGGACACTAGTTTTTCCCGTAAGATCAATCATCTGAGTATAAGAGTTGCGTGACGTAGCTTCACATCTTTTATTTGTCGCAGTGCTATCAAAGTGCAAAGTGGAATGCTTATCGCTGAGCTGCGATTACACATTGTATCTTAATGGACATTAATAGACGCACAATAGACCTCCATAGAGCGACGGTCAGTTCAAAGACACCGCCTGCATTTCCTCGAATTAACTCTGCAATCTTCTTACACAGCGATACTTCATGAGGCGACAGTCAGTCAGTAGCCGCGTCGACGGTCACCAACTATGTCGCTCTGGCCGCGGGTGTTGCTGTTCTTATTTTGTTTTCAATATTCAGTCGGTCAGTGGTATGACGAGGATTCGCTTTGTGACAGAGTGGACATGTCGGAAGAAGACAGGCCTTGTGAATGTATCGAAAACGAACGGGACTATTTTTATGGGCACTTCTACTGCAGAAATCGTAACCTGACTCGCTTGACCATTTCCGAATTGCCAAAAAATCGCTGCCGAGGCACACACGCAGCATCGTTGCAAGGTAATTGGTTCTCCGACTACCCCCTGTTGGTCAGGGATCCAAGATTTGTGAGAATCAATTTAGTGGACAACAATCTCATATCGCTGCCGAAACCATTCCAAGTAAGTAAGAGGTTAAAATATTTGAATCTGTCTGGAAATAAAATATCGAATACAAGGGACGAGTTGAGAACAATGACGCAGTTAAAAATTCTTCATGTCAGTTGGAACAGATTGACGACTATCGGATTCTTGCCAAATCCTTGCTATCTTCAGATTCTTGACGTGTCTGGCAATGCTCTTAGATCGATCGAGACTTCATCCCTGAAACCATGCACACTTCTGGAATACCTTCAGTTATCGAATAACTTAATATCGTATATTCATAAAGACGCGTTTGACCCATTCAAAAAACTCGTCTGTCTATTCCTGAGCAGCAATCCTCTCACAACTTTGGCCGACAATTTATTCTTGGGACTGAAACGCCTACATGTTCTCCATCTGAATGACGCAAACCTAACAAATATATCTAATTACACATTCAACGGACTAGTGGGTCTCGATGAACTGAATTTATCCAACAACAACCTAATCACGTTACCAGAGACCATCTTCAGCAAGACTGGCAACATCACGCACATCAAACTCAACGACAACCAGCTGACCTACCTGCCCGCACGCATCTTCTCAAGAATGCGGCGTCTGCATAGCGTGGATCTGGTGAGGAACAACTTCACTTACGTGCCGGCAACCATGTTCCTTCAGCACCCCAGCACCACGCTGTCGGCCTACATGGAAGAGAACCCCATCCAAGCCCAGAACCTCCGCTGGGTGCTGCGCGCTTCCATCGTGCGCACGGAGATCAACCCGTACGCGTGCAGCTGTGGCGCTCTCCGCCTCGGGGTGGCTCGTATCGATTTCTGCGTTGACTTGCAATGCGGCGAAGGCGAGCCCTACTTGCACTGGCTGGACGCTGTGATAAAAATCGATGAATCGTCGATCGCCGTAGAAGCCAGCCCGGTGGCTTCCTCTGACTCGGTTGTGAACAAAGACATGGACTGGGTACCCGCCCTCTCACCCAGGCGGGAATTTTCTGGTTACTGACGGCAAGGTTATGTGTTCTTTCAGATAATTTTCTCTTTACAATAGTTTTTTCTTTTCATGTTAAGATTAAACGAAGTATAATGTTCTGAGGTAACTACAATAAGGTGAAAAAACATAAATAAGTCATGTGAACCCAAATAATATGTAAAAACTATCCAGGCCAGAACAAGAAGTTCTTTGTGAAATTATAATAATGATTATAAATCACTTATTATTTGTTTCTTAATATAATTATGGCAGAAACACTTCCATTTCCGTGCTTGCATTGATGTTCATTTTTTAATAAGGTGTATGTGAATATACGCCTCACAATAATCTAATTGAAAATACATCGAGCTATGCAGTAGTATGTAAAAAATAAGTTTATACGTTATATTTGATTTTGTTTGGAAATAAATCATGAATACTATTTTGTTTATACATATAAGTTTCCCTTTTTAAGTACCTCCTTTTATAAACCAAAAGCACTAAACTTTGCCCCTAAGTCACACAGTCACATAATTTGACATAAAAATGCTACCAAATTGATGAATTTATTAGCAATTTCTATTGTAGCAAATATTAAATGTATGAGCAAATTTAGAGGAGAAATAATTGTTTTCCAAATTTTCCAAATTTTGAAGGAATATTACAGATTCTAAAATCAAAATCAGTTTGTAACAGGGCAACGTAATTCGATTACTTTTGAAGGAATATGATTTGTGATCATATTTCCTGGAAGTGATTTTAAAACATAATTACAAACTTTTGCAATATTTCGAAATTGCTCTGCTTAAATCATCGTAAACGTCCCAACAGTTAAAGCGAGAATAGTAGTTTAATTATATTAACAAATAATTTGAAATACACATTTTAAATTTACTTCAAGTTTAATTTTGTGTTATTCGGAATGAAGTTAACCAAATCTTAAAAAACGCTTTTGTGAACAAATATTTTAATTTATTCCATTCAGGTTAATTTCAATAAAACATTTATCACTTATAATTGTTACGATGACTTTCTATTTCGTAAATGTCGAATAATAATAATAATAATAATAAGAACAACAACAACGAGGTTCCGGAGACAGCGAACATAATATTTTTTAAATCGTTAGTACAATTAATTTTACATTAACATAAATCAAATTTATTTTCACTACGATCAGCACGTATGCACGATGTCTATGTTGAGGTGGTCATAAAATACCGATACATAATTAAAAGAAAAACAGTGGTCTCTATTAACAATACGAAACACAAAAGTTCAATAGAAAAGGACAGAATATAATGGTAATTTTTAAATATGCATCAATAATTCTGCGTGAAGTAACTACATTTATTAATAAATTTCGGAAAAATATAAAACATTTTAATATTAACGCATCTGAGCAAAATGAATGAATTCTGGATTAATTGGTACAAATGACATTACAAATTTAAGAAGCAGTTTGAAAATGACTTGTTAAAATCAGTCGTATGGTCAGAAAAACGTAAATATTTTTGTTAAATCGACCAACAGAAGATACATATGGTTCCACATAAACATTAATTAAATTATTAACAACAGCACTAAATAAATAAAATGAAATTTTTCTGTAAAATAACTGAAATTTAATTCTTTAAACCTTTTGCTCGAATAGATGAAAGTGCATTTATAACAATGACAAAGGTTTTATTTTTATTGAAACTTACGAAATTGTTGAAAATTGCAAAAGATCACATTTATTTTCGAACCTTTCCTTCGAGACATCAGTTGCTCTGGTAGTCTACATATAACTCCTTTAAAAGTTTTCATGCTCCCGGAGATAAGTACAAACATTCCTAAAAACATGTCTGCA